GCCTATAGCAGCAGAACTATAGAGATAGATCAGGATAACCTGAGCCACTCTAACTAGAAGCTTCATGTCAGCTTCTTGAAGTGTTTCCTACCCAGAATGCAGTGCGAGGCATGAGCCTCTGTCACAGTAAAGTGAGCTCTGCATCCCATCAGCATCAGAGTTTTTCTTCTTCTGTTAAACGTGCTGCAGTCAGGAGGGCTGATGCTAACAGTTGTAGCGTATAGCAGCCATCTTTGATGATGTCATGTTTTTGGGTCCAGTATGCTTTACTAACAACATCTGCATTTTATTCCCTGTCTGTCCGTGTCGCCTCCTGGGCCTCCTCCTAATGCTTGGTCGCTGTTCTAAAACGACGCCCCTCTGATTTCCTCTCTGCTCCTCCTCTGGGCTGTCCTGGTCTCAGCTCTGCTCCTCCCTCTGAGGATCCTGCTCCTCCTCTGTCTGAAGCAGAGGAGCTTCTTAACAAGTAAGCTCTCCTCCTAACGTTGCTCTCACCTCAAATCCACACAGATCCTAACGGATAAGAGCAAAGCCACAAGGGTTCTAAAGATGTTCTACTGATGACCCTGCTGCCTGAGGGGTCAGGTGATCCACAGCGGGTTCAGAACCTGCCACCAGGCGCTCAGCACCAGTCCAGCTGTGTCCTGCTAACCAGCACCATCCATACGTTCAGATGTTTGTTGTGACTGGAACGGATCCTGAAGAACCTTTTAACAAGCACCTTCTCATCCTGCAGGTTTGTTTGCAAGAACAACGGGGTTCTGTTTGAGAATCAGCTCCTGCAGATCGGCATCAAGTCAGAGTACCGTCAGAACCTTGGTGAGTTCCAGCAGAAACGAGCTCAGTTCAGCGCTGTGATTGGCTGATCCCTTACTTCCCAATTAATGGAATGGTTGCAGTGTTCCCTTTTTGTGGGAGTGGGAGGAGCCTGTTTGGCCCCAGACGTTGACTCTGGATTGGGGGAGAAATGTCTAGAATGTTAGGACAGAGATGATCAATAGAGACCTGGTTTCTCTGCTGCAGGTGGAGCAGATCTGCTCTGGGTGCTGTGCTGCCCACTAGAGGCTGGAATGGAATAGAATTCACCTTTATTATTTGTTTTATTTATTTATTTGAATTAGGGAAAAGCACACTTATCAGCTTAAAGCATCAATGTAAATATGCTCGAATCGGCAAAACAGCTCGTTTTGTATCTGCTTTTCTAAGGCAGGTAAAAACAGCGAACATTAAACACGCTATGGGGAGAACGCAAACAGATAAGATGCTAATAATATGAAATCAAAATAAAATCCGGTTAACAGGCTCAGGGAAACGGATCAATTCATGTGTGGTTAGTTTTCAACCAATGCTTCAAGGAGATTTTAAAACTTCTGCCCCTAACATGAGCTGACAGAGTATAACTTCTGGTTATAGACCTGCGGTTCATTTACTAAAGGTTATTTTGCTTATAAAATCTGTTAGAGGAGGAGGAGAAGGTCCATTTAAAACTTAAAAAACGACACGCATCCAAAAATATCTGACACTACTATTGTTCGTGGTGTTGGATCTGTGGATGTGAGGAGATTCCAGTCTGATGTTCTGTTCCCTCCAGGGAGGATGTACCTGTTCTACGGAAACAAGACGTCTGTACAGTTCGCCAGCTTCAGCACCACGGTCAGCTGCCCTGGAGAGCTCCAGAACCATATCCTTGGTAGAGACCCAGAACTCTGGTCGGTGGGGCCTCTCTGCTGATCAGACGGGCCCCCTGCTCAGGCAAGGCCTCCTGATTGGGTGGGGGGCCCCTCTCTTTAATCAGAATCAGAAATACTTTAATAATCCCAGAGGGAAATTACTTTTGTTACACGCTCCAGTAACAGTTTTATATATATATACACACATCCAACCATACAGTATAATAAAGATGAAAAAAAAATGGCTCCTGATCAGTCGAGGCCCCCATGGTGTGGCTCCTTAACTCGTTCCCACAGCTGAACGTTCAGAGCAAACCCGTGGAGCCGCTGGTGGAGGGAGGGGCCCAGATCCAGCAGGTTCTGAACATCGAGTGTCTGACGGACTTCTCTGATGCTCCACTGCTCAACATCAAGTTCAGGTAGGGGCCCCCGCCGCTCCGCATGGGGACGGTGTTTTTGGTTCTGGGTGGGTCAGCTGCTGTTCTATGTTCAGGTACGGAGGAGCTCTGCAGAACCTGACCCTCAAGCTGCCCGTCACCATCAACAAGTTCTTCCAGCCCACGGAGATGGCCTCCCAGGACTTCTTCCAGCGCTGGAAACAGCTCAGCCAGTGAGTGTCCTGGAGCCTCTGGGGGCCTCTGGGGGCCCCATGCTCAATCTCTACTGTTGGACCTCTGTCTCTACCATAGTCTGCCCCGGGGCCCCTCCTCCTTCCTAAAGCTTTGTTCCTCCTCAGGCCCCAGCAGGAAGCTCAGAAGATCTTCAAGGCCAACCACAGCATGGACACGGAGGTCATCAAAGCCAAGGTGGGTCCACACAGATTCTGGACCCGCTGGGTTCTGCTGCTGTCCTGTAGAACCTCTAAACTTGGTTCTGTTTGCAGCTGCTGGGGTTGGGCATGGCCCTGCTGGACAACGTGGACCCGAACCCGGAGAACTACGTCTGTGCTGGAGTGGTCCAGACCAAGAGCCAGCAAGTCGGCTGCCTGCTGAGGCTGGAGCCCAACGCCCAGGCCCAGGTACCAGTGCCGGCCGCTGGTCTTCCGTCTCTCTGACAGACCCCGTCGCTGTGTCCAGTCTCTCCGACGGACCCGGTCGCTGGTCTTCCGTCTCTCTGACAGACCCCGTCGCTGTGTCCAGTCT